GGGTCGAGTCCTCCGTGGTCCCTTACCTGGGGGCTGGACTGCGCTGGTTCTCGGGAGGGGCGAGACCTTGGGATGGGAAGTCACCAGAGCCCAGAGGGGGGCAGCCTGGCATCGGGAGTGGCCGGTGAGTGACCTGTCCGCCTTCTCCCCGCAGCAGTGGCAGATGAGTCTGGGCACCAGCGAGGACCACCAGCACTTCACCTGCACCATCTGGAGGTGAGCCTCGCCCAGCACAGGGCCTGCCGCTGCCCTGACCACGTGGCCAGGTGCTGTCCAGGAGGCCGGAGGAGCACAGGGCGCAGGGGGGTGTGGTCTGGGGGGAACGCTGTGAGGGCTTCCTGAGAACTGTCACCCTGGCCCGGGGGTGGCGGGGAGCCACGGAGATAGAAGTCAGCCTTGTGAAGAACAGGCTCCGTGACAGACGCTCCCAAGGCTGTGCAGCCATCATCTCTGTCTAGTTCCAGAACATTCTATCACCCACAACCGGCCTTATCCCCATGAATAGTCAGCCTGTCCCTCTACAGCCCCCGGCACCCACAAGCCTCATCCCGTCTTGGACGTCTCCTGTCACTGGGTCACGCACTGTGGCCTTGGGCCTCTGGCTCCCGGAGCACAAGTTCTCAGGTCTGCCGCGGCTGCTGCGTGTGTCACAGCCGCCGTCCTCTGCATGGCTTTGGCAGGGGGGCCCGAGGCCGTGGGAAGCCATTTCCTGTGCAGAGAGGCACCAGCAGGGCCTGTGCTCAGCTCCTCCTGGACCTGCCCTGCTGTGTCCCCTACGCAGCTGTCTGAGCCGGACCCTGCCTCTGGTTCCTGGCCACCCACAGGCCACAGGCCTCCGGAATCAGACAGCCCTGCCCCACGTCCCTGCCGCGCTGCCCGCCCTTCCTGCTCTGGCTGTGTCCCTGTGACCTTGCCTTTCTGACCTCCTCGTGACCCTAGACATGGTGGGACAAGGGGAGGGAGGCAGGGTTGGCCTGGGGGCCGCAGCGCTGGGTCCCTGCCCTTCTCCCCGGGCACCTTGCGCAGGCAGGCCCCCAGAGCTGTGCGGCAGACCCTGGGGGAGCAGGCGGAGCCCAGGGCTGTTTAATGGAGGACAGGCTGTGCCATCCAACCGGGCCGCTGGCCTGCGGTTCCTGGTGTTCACTGGGCATCCGGGGGAGGCAGACCCCAGGGCCGTCGCCAGCCCCCCGAGACTTGGAGGTGCAGCCTCCAGGGGCGCTGCAGATGCAGGGGCCAGGCGCAGGGAGACCCCCTTGGTGGTGACCCTCTGCTTCATGAGGCCCCGAGCCTGGCCTCTCTGAATGCCGCTCTGCAGGCCCACGGTGGTGGGGCCGGAGGTGCTCGCCTGAGCCTGTGTCCTCCTTTCTGACCCCTGGGCTCCTCCGGCAGTGGGGCTGCTGCCTGCCAGCTGCGGTCAGGCCTGAGCGGGCCTGGCCCAGACGGCACACCTTGACCCTCCGCTCAGGGCCGGGCAGTGGCCACTGAGGCTGAGGAAGTCACCCGGGAGCTCCTCGGGGACCCGGGCCCTCTCATGGTCCACTCCTGCAGCTGCATGGAGCCCGGCACCCAGGACCTCGTCCCCCTTGGCCTCGGGCACCTCTCCCCGCTCCCGCCGTCCCCTCGTGACCCCTCTGCTTCGACCTTGCCGCTCCTCCAGTGCCCCCAATTGAACCTCCTGTGACCCAGGCTGCAGCTCCCGCTGCAGAGTCTGGCCGCGCCCCGCCCTCCCCGCACAGCCCCCCACTGAAATAACGGCGTGGGCTCTAAGAACGTGCAGCCGATGAGCACGCGCGTCCCAGGCCCCCGAGGGCTCATGGCCAGGGGTGAGCGGCCAGTGTGTTCAGCAGAGGAAGGAGGCTGGTTTGGACGGCCGCTGCCCTTCCTTCCTGGGGTCGGCAATTCTGGGACACAGTGTCCCTGTGGCAGGCTCCGAACCAGCGGACCACCGCCCTCGGCAGGCCTAGCCCAGCACAGGTCCTGGCGGGCTCTCTGCAGGGCCCAGGCGGCCCCCAGGCTGGTCTGACCTCCGCGCTTCTCCGCAGGCCTCAGGGGAAGTCCTACCTCTACTTCACGCAGTTCCAGGCCGAAGTGCGGGGCGCGGAGATCGAGTACGCCATGGCCTACGTGAGTGCAGCCGCAGAGCGGCCTGGGGCTCCCCGCGCTGCTCCCCGGGCCGCAGACCTCCACGTGGACACCCTGCGGTCCCACCAGGGCCCCACTTGAATCTGGGTCAGAAACAGTTTGGAAACTCCTCACATCTGCCCGTCCCCCGGGACACGGGGCGCCACAGGGAGGTGCTGGTGCCCGAGGCCTGGCGGGCAGCAGGGGCACTGGGGCCCTCCTTGGTCACCCGGCTCTGGCAGGGATTCAGGAGTCTCTTGCCCTCTAGGTCAGCGTGACAGACCTCAGCCACAGCACATGCCCTGCTGGGTGACCCTTCCAAGTGACCTGCTGCCCACAGCCTCCCTTTTGGCTGACTTGAAAGAAATAATTTTGATTTTTTTAACTTTAAAATGTTTTTCAGCTCTGGGAGCGGAACCCGGGGCCTGGTGCGCTAAGCGCTCCTCCAGGAGAGAGCCCAGGGCGCTCCCCCGAGAGCCGCCTCCCAGATGATTTACCTATCCGTTATTTTTTAATGTGTGTGTTTTAGTTGTTGGTAGAACTTTATTTTTATTTGTATGTGGTGCTGAGAATCGAACCCAGTGCCTCCCACATGCAGGCCAGTGTGCTACCACTGGGCCACCGCCCCGCCCTGCCAGCCTCTCTATTGGTTATTTAAACCTTTATTTTATTTTTATGTGGTGCTGAGGATCGAACCCAGGGCTTCGCACGTGCTAGCTGGGCCAGCGCTCTCCCGCGGGCCCAGCCCTGGCCACTATTGTTCATTTAGAGACAGGGTCTCAGCGAGTTCTTAGGGCCTCTGAGTTGCCGAGGCTGGCCTTGGACTTGCCTCCTGTCGCTGGGGTGACAGGCATGGCCACCAGCAAGTGTGCCCACCAGTTATGATTTTCTAAAATCACGTTTAAGAAATTATGATGCAAGAATCATTTCCGTAAAGTATTTTTTAAATTATGAAAGTCACGCTGTGTCCAATGCTGGCGGCTTGGGCCAGGCGAGGTCTCACGTCCGCAGCTGTCCCTGGGGGGCCCTTGCCTGCTGCGGGGCACTACCCGTCCTGCTGCTGCTCTTGTGACTTCTAGTGATGTCTCCCTATTCCTTTCCAGTCAAAAGCTGCTTTTGAAAGAGAAAGCGACGTTCCTCTGAAAACCGAGGAATTTGAAGTCACCAAAACAGCAGGTGGGTGACCAGAGAGGGGGCCTGAGGGGCAGGGTGAGTCACCAAGCCTTGGGGACAGTGTCACAGCACAGAAGCTTCCCCCACGCTGGGCCCACAGGGTCAGTGCCACCGTGTCGCTGTCACGGGGCCTGAGCAGCTGCTCCATAAGGAAGAGAGAGTCACTTGGCTGATGTGGAGGCTAAGGGCTGGCGCTGCCTTGGCTCTGACGAGGGAGAGTGGCAGGGCCAGGTCCGCAGCCAGGGTGGGCTGGGTCCCCGTCCTCAGAGGCGTGGCCCACCTGTGCTGGAAAGGGACCCGGAGCCTCACGTGCCGCCAGGTGCCTAGTCCTGAGCCACACCCAGCCCCACACCTCTCAGCCCCAGGGACACACTCCTAGTGGCAGCAAGTGGGTTGGCCACGTGCCAGTGAGACTGGACGACAGGGACAGGTGGACTTGAGGTGGCTTCTCCATGCCGCACTGCTGTTCCTGCTGCGCATCGTGCAGCTCCTGTGGTCCCCGCTTCTCCGGAGGCTGAGGCGGGAGGATCGCCTGGGAGTGTGAGGCCAGCCTGGGCAGCACAGTGAGACCCCATCTCAAAACTCGGAACAAAAGAAATCTCTTTTTATTTTTTTTAAAGCAATTTAAGAACGTTAACCGCGCTCGGTGCACTGGCTGTGCCCGCTCAGGCCGCAGCCCAGCTCCGCGGTGCCTGCCGCACATGAGTGTGGAAAGTCACTGCTGCTGGGCGCCCAGGGCGAGCTCCATGGGAAACAGGGCTGGGTACCCAAGGTGCCCGCGGGCTGGAGGCTGAGGGCAGCAGCGTAGCCCAGGGGAGCCGGGGTGCCGGGCAGCATGGGGTCCTCCGGGTGGTCTGAGCCCATCAGTGTCCTGCAGGGCAGGTGCTGAGGCAGGGGAGGGACAGAGGGTCCCCCTCAGCTGTCCCACTCACTGACAAGGGGAGAGGCCAGCGTCCCGCGGTGCTGGAAGATGATCATGGGCCACAGATGGCAGGAGCTGGTGGCTCGGCCACCCTACCCGCTCCTGCCTGGCTCTCCCCAGGCTGGCCTTCGCACCTGGTCCCACCCGGAGCCTGCCATGTGGGGCCACTGCCAGATGCGCCTCCCCTGCCCCCCCACAGTGTCCCAGGTTCCTGGGCCTCGGGTGGCATGGTGGCCGTCTGACGACGCTCTTGTCTCTTGCAGTGTCCCACAGGCCCGGGGCCTTCAAGGCTGAGCTGTCCAAGCTGGTGATTGTGGCCAAGGCCGCCCACAGTGAGCTGTGACTGCCCACCAGGCGCCGGGTGTCATCCGCTGGAGGAGCTGGGGCCCGGCCCGGTGCTGGCTCTGCAGGGAGCTCTGGTCCCCCCCACCCCATGTCCCGGGGACCCCGCAGCTGGCACAGAGCCCCACCTCCACCACACACTGGCCCCCAGGGCTAGAGCAGCTGGTCCCCATAACCAGAGGGCTCTTCTGAAGCCAGCCTGCGTCCCTGTGGGGCCGTGCCAGGCACAGGAGCCACATGCTCCCTCTGAACCCCGCGAGCCCCCGGCTCCAGGACCACCCTCCCGACAGCCGGGAGGGACAGACTGTTCTTTTGTATTTAAATAAATAAAACCAATAAAAGGCAGCCGTGGACAGCCCCTGGCACTGAGGGTCCTCCCTGCCGGACGTGGCCCGCCTGCGTCATGGCATCTCCAGAGTGGACTCCCTGTGGACGAAGCTCTGGCCTCGCCACTGCAGGTGGATACAGGACGCTGGCCCCTCGCCCAGCCCTGGCGCAGGGTGTCCACACACGGGGGCTGGGGCAGCGCGCTCCTGGCCCAGGGCTGGTTGGTTCTTGGAAGTTGGGTCACAGCAAAGGAGAGCGGGCGGCCCCTGCCTGGCCACGCCCCTTGGGCACTGCACTCCCAGCACAGGGCCCCGGCCTGCAGCCTGACCTCTGGCCCCTGCTGGCCGGCAGAGGACCGCTGAGGCACGGCTCCCGCTCCCATGGGCCAGCCCTGGAGGTGACACTGCTGTCCCCCTGTGTAGCGCCCGAGTATGGGGGGGCACCTGCCCACACCTGGAAGACGCAGAGCAAGGAGGCCCTAGACCTGTAGCGGGTCTCGGAGCAGGTCTCCTGAGAGGAGGTCCCTGGACCCCAGGAATGGCCTCCAGGGGGCAGTGCTAAAGGGTCCCTCGCCAGGGCCTCAGGTGTGACCCTCCACACTGGGGCAGGGGCTGCCGCAGCCTGTGCAGGACAGCTGAGAGCTGATGGCCACCCCTAGGACACAGGACCAGGGGTGCCCTGTGCAGGGACAGCCACAGCCTCTAAAACAGACTGGCGGCGCGTCCAGTGGAGCTGAGGTGAACCCCAGGTCGCGGCCCGTCGTGCCCTGCGGCCGTGCATGTGACCAATGGGGCAGAAACGGAACTCGTCACCCAGGCCACAGACATGGCCACAGCGGGGCAGCCCACCATGGCCTGTCCAGTTCAGCCTGGGGCTTCTTGGGGACACCCGGGTGGGCCCCTGCGCAGGAGCTGCTCTCAGCAAAAGCTCTGGGTGGGGGAGCGGAAGCCATGCCCCGAGGGCCACCCTGAACTTGGCTCTGACCGCGGCAGCGGGCAGCAGGAGAGCCAGGGTCTGGAGGAGCAGGCGTCACTTACAGGGCTCTACAGGTGGCACGGTGCCTGGACGAGGCTCTGGAGCCCTGTGCGGCTCCTGCTTCCGTGGTGACAGCTGGTACGGACTCCCCGGGTGCCGTCAGCCCCGCCCGCCCAGCCAGGGGGCACCTCAATGCCAGGTTGCCCATCCCAGGCACCCGACAGCTGGTGGAGACAGCCCGGCCTCCCAGCGGGCAGCGCAGGTGTCCCCACCCCACCTGTGCACGGCCAGGCCAGGCCTCTGCTGACCACGGATCTGGGCCTGCTGCGTGTGGCCGCGCTGTCCTGGCCGCGCCCAGCCCTGCGGTCCCGGAAAGAAGATGTTGGTTTCCATCATGAAATTACGATTAAAGGACACGCTCAGATGGCTTTGCCCACCCCGAGTCGGGGATGCGCTTTGTCCTGGCCCCCCGGAGGTGGCCGGCGGTCCTCAGCACCTTGTTTTGTTGAAGTGTCACCTTGCTCGGCCTCCACGGTCAACTGATGTCCTTGCTTGTGCGTCTGGGCCCACATTCCCCATATGGGGACAGCGCTGACAGGGACACCCTTCCAGAGGCGGCCCCTCCCAGGGCCAGGGGGAACGTGGACTGGGGGACAGTTTGACCCGTTGCACCCTTTCCTTCCGTGACCTGCTGGGGTGACCAGTGTCCAGCACCAGGACCGGGAAGCCCTGCTTTGGAAACCCACGCAGTGGTTTGAGGGGAGCAGGCAGGTGGCCTGCGGTCAGCCCGGGACATGGAACGAGGGAGGACAACAGGTGGCCTGAGCAGGCAGTGGCTCTGGGCAGGAGGCACCTGGCCCTGATGGGCGCCTGCCTGTCACACAGGGTGGGGAGGAGGGTGCCACGGGTCCTCGGAGCTGCTGCTGCAGGAGCTGGATAGGGGGGCCCAGCGGGTTTGGCTGGAGGGACAGGGTGGGGCCGAGTCCTGGGCGCCGCCCGGGGGTCAGATGCTGTCCTCGTCCAGCAGCCTGCCGAGGCCCTCGCAGATCCCGCGGAGGTGGGAGCGGTAGGGCTCGGCCGGGCCGTAGAGCGCGGCCAGGAAGTCGCAGTTGGCCACGTGGCTGAAGACGTGGTTGATGCGGCCGTGGGACTTGGCGGTCAGGTGCGGGCCGGCGGCCTGGTGCAGCAGGTCACGGCACTCCTGCAGCCCGGCCACCAGCACGCGCCGGTCGAAGGTGAAGGCCACCTGGTGGAAGCTGAGCGCAGTCAGGGCCAGGCCGCGGGCCCTCTGGCGGAAGCGCCCCAGCAGCTCCAGCTCGCGGCCGCCCAGCTGCCCGGCGCGCAGCAGCACGCCCAGCTTCACGACCACCTTGACCAGGTTCTTCACCACCTTCTGCGCCTCCTTGCGGCTGCGCGTGAACTCCTTGGTGGCCCGGTACAGCTCATCCAGCACCTGGCTGCTGGTGTCGTCCAGGAGCACGGCCACCGTGGCCTTGGACGCCATCTTGCTCAGGACCTTCTTTTGGGCCTGCAGGGCCAGACTCTTGGTGCTGAAGGTGTCCATGGGCCCTGCTGGGGCAGACAGACCACGCGTCAGCCGCCCGCCTCCAGTGCCCCTGCCCTTCCCGTCTGTGGACGCCTGGGCGGGGAGGGCTGTGGACAGACAGCCCCAGCAGACCCTGGGGGGCACAAGGCATCTGTCTTTTTAAAAAGAGTAAGAGCGTGGGAGTCAGGAAGGGGTGCGGAGCGGTGGATCCCGAAGGCCTTCTAACTGCGCTGCCCACAGCGCCCGCTGCGGCCCCCCAAAGCCCCTGCGCCCAGCCGTGAGTGAGGGGCTCAGGGCGAGGGGCTGCGGGATCCTGGCCCCTGTCCCCTCCCGCAGCTCCATGAGAGGGACCTGGTGAGCAGCCCCCTAGCCCCAGCCCCCTCCCTGCAGGGCCATGACGGACAGACGGACAGCTGGACAGAGAGCTCGGAGGCTGCAGGGTCAGAACAGGCTGCGGGCAGCCCCCAGGCAGTGGGCTCTGCGCAGCTCCCGCTTCCCGCTGCTGGCCGCGAGGGCCCAGGCGAGGGCCAGGTGCGCGGGCAGCTGGGGAGCAGGGTCTCTGTGCCCCCGTTCTCTGCCTGGTCCTTCGTGCCAGCGGCCCGGGGCTCCCCGACGGCCCGGCTGCAGGGCTGGCATCGCCCTCCTGCTGGAGACCAGCGGGCAGCTCCACGGGCCCAGGGCTGCCGCCTCCCTGGGTGACCCTGAGTACCTCCCCAGGCCCAGGCCCAGGCCCTCCCTGGAGACCCCCTCCCTGGAGACCCCCCTCCCTGGAGACCCCCCTCCCTGGAGACCCCCCCAGGAAGCCGTCCAGAGCCCCAGGAGGGTGAGGGCTCCTCTGAGCAGTGGCGCCCGCGGGTCCCCTTCTCCACTGTGTCCTTAGAGACTCCAGAACCTTCTGCCTGAAGAGCCAGGAGGAGGGGCAGCGTGAGACCCACCCCCAGGGCCCTGGTCCCCTCCTGCGCCACCCCAGGGCCAGCCAGGATGCCAGGCAGCCCCACCCCCGGAGTCCCCCAAAGCCCTTCTTTGTGCCAGCTCAGGCCCCGGGAGGCGGCCGGCCGCAGCCGCCCTCAGAGGTCAGGCCAGGCCTTCCCTGCCCCCGCCTGTCACTGGACCCTGCTCTCCACAGGCCAGGCCAGTGCCCTTGACCCAGTGCCACGTGGCGGCCACCAGCAMCGCGCCACTATTCCTACCAGCTGCTGGGCTGGTGGCCCATCCTGCAGAAAAGGGACAGGCTCAGAGAGGCTGAGCTGCCCACCCAGGACCACACAGCAAGACGCCACCGGCTGCCTCAGACCCTCGGAATCCAGCCCCCTGCCTTCCCTGATGCCCACAGGCTTGGAGGTCAGGAGTGTCCCCTGCCACTGAAGGCGGGCTCCCGCTGGCCTCTGGGACACGCCGCACAACTCCCCTAGTCTCAGTCCCCGTCCCCAAGATGCAGACAACTGGGACAGCTTGGTCATGGGCAGAGGCTGTGGTCAAGGCCGCGTCCCCGGGGCCAGAGCCCAGCGCTCAGCTGGCCACCTGGCCCTCCTCCTGCCGTCTTCTCTAGAACATTCCGCTCCCTCCACCTGGAACTCCCCCCAGCAGCCAGGGAAGTCACGGTCGGGGTGCCCGGGGTGCCCCGGGTGCCTGCCGGGGAAGCCCCAGCGCCTGGGTTCTGTGTTCCCTGCCGGGAACAGCGCGTGGGACAGGAAGCCAGCAAACTCCGGGACCGGAACCCGGGCTGGAGCGACGACGAGGGCACAGGCCTTCCTCTGCCTCCAGGAAGGAGGCCCAGGAGCCCCGTCCTCCTGCCCACCTCAGAGGCTGTGCGCCCCTGGGTGAGCCCCGCCCTTCTCTGGCCTCAACGGCCCATCTGCAAGTCTGAAGTTGGTTGGAGGGGAGCTGGGCTGTGGGCAGGCATCAGGAGGGGCCGGTCCCAGAAGCACCCCCCACGGGAAGAGGGGCCGAGGACAGAGCAGCTGCGGCCTCCCCTCACTGCCTCCCCTCCTGGCCTGCTGGGCCAGCCCTGGACCTGCAACACCTGGGGCAGCCGGCTGCGCGGCCTCCCCTCCTCCTCCCTGACCCATTGTTCTAGAGCGTCCCCCCACACCACCAGACAGGCATGTGGCCACTCTCCCAGGGGACAGGGCTATGGACCAAAATAACCCAGGCCTTCCTTCCTGCAGGAGGCAGGGGGCCGCACCAGCCACAGGCAGAGCCTCCCTGGGGGCCTCTCCCCAGCACCAGCGTCCCTGATCCCTGGTCCCTGGTCACCACTGTCCCATGTCATTGTGGGCCAAGGCAGCGCATGGCAGCTTCAGGAACTTGGCTCACTCACTCAGTGGCTCAAAAAGCCTTTATGGAGCACCAACTGTGTACAAGGCACCAGGAACACGGCAAGCACCACAAGGTCGCGGCATTCCGGTCCCCCCGAGGTGGGGTCCCTGGGCAGCAGCACCTGCCCTCCGCCACCGTCAGGTGAGACAGGGAGGGCAGAGCGGGGGCCGGCGCATCCCGAGGCCGGCTTCCCCCAGCACCCGGCGAGCTCCACGCAGACCCAGCACCATCTGGCCGCCAGCAGGAGCAGGGGCACGACGGATGGACCTGAGGACCCTGTGACAGCAGACACACCAGGCCACAGTGTGTGACCCAGTGACAAAAATGCCAGGACGGGGGGGTCCAAGACGAGTTGTGGACCTGTGGGTGCAGGGCTGGGGGAAGCTCGTGGGGCAGGCGCCTTTTGTGGTGATGGAAGGTTCTGGAACTAGACAGAGGTGGTGGCTGCACCACCTYGTGAACCCCTGAACTGGAGGCTGAAGTGGCGAGTTCTGTGGCCTGGGAACCCCGTCTCACTGAGCTGACCACTTAATGTCCGCGCCCTTACTGTGTTTTACAGCTCACTCTATAAAACGCTCAAGAATCCAAGGAGCCGGGCACGGTGGGCCACGCCTGTCAGCCCACGGCTTGGGAGGCTGAGGCAGGAGGACGCGGTTCAAAGCCAGCCTCAGTGATGGCGAGGTGGAAAGCCACTCGGGGAGACCCTGTCTCTAAACAAAACACAAAACAAGGCTGGGGCGTGGCTCAGGGGAGAAGGGCCCCCGAGTTCCATCCCCGGAACCAAAAGAGAAAAATACATAAGTCAATCTAAGGAATCAAAAATCAGAATTTGACCCAAACTATAATTCAGAAAAAAAAGAAAAAGAAACTATTACACAAACTGAGGTTTGTGAATGGCTTCCCTGTCGCCAGGCGCACAGTGGGGCTCAACACATGTTTCCTTAAAGAGGAATTTCCCCTAAAAGGTAATGGCACACTGAGTTCCGGTGGCCCCGTGTGGCTAATCCCATCCCGGGACAGTCCAGCTCCCGCCTCAGGGGCCACACTGCAGGACTGTCCTCAATCTCGGAGCCACGCTCAGGCCGCCCGGGCCCGGCGGAGCCGAGACGCTGCTCTGAGCATGGCTGGATGCCCGGGTCCCTGCCCCTGCCCGCCACGTGCAGAACATCCTGTTTTTCTCACAACAGAGAGGACCCTGCAGATGCTCTTCCCCGTCAGGGACTGGCCCCAGGGTGCCTGCAGGGCCACGCCCTCTTCACAGGTTGAGGCAGGTCTTGCTCAGTGGGCAGGGGGGTGGGGAGGTGGCTCAGCGGTAAGCGCTCGCCTGGCATCCGCGGGGCGCTGGGTTCCATCCTCAGCACCACATAAAGTCAAGATGTGTGTCCGCCGAAAGCTGAAAAATAGATATTAAAAAATTCTCTCTCTCTAAAAAAAAAAACAAAACAGCCGGCAGAGGCCGGGATGCGGTTGGTGGTGGTGGAGTCGTGCCTCCTTTATGCCAGGCCCTGGCCTCAATCTCCAGAAGCACAGAAATGAAGACAGTCTCTCTCCAGCCAAAGCAGCTGTGAGCGACTCACCTGCTTAAAAAAAATTAAAAAGTTGGCAAACTGTGACCCSCCCCTGCCTGTTTTTGTCAGTAAAGTTTTTTGGTTTTTTGGTCCTGGGGATTGAACTCGGGGCCCTCGACCACCGAGCCGCACCCCCAGCCCTATTTTGTATTTTATTTAGAGACGGGTCTCACTGAGCTGCTTAGGGCCTCGCCATTGCCGAGGCTGGCTTTGAACTCACCATCCTCCTGCCTCAGCCTCCCAAGCCACTGGGATGACGGGTGTGTGCCACTGTGCCAGGCAGCCCATAAAGTTTGACTGGCACTCAGCCACACCCCTTCATTCCCACGGGCCCATCCGGGTCYCCACACTAGGATCTACGGTGTGGCCCTCTCTAAAACACCTGCCGGCCCTGGGCTAGACACCCAGCAGAACAGCGAAAGGAGCCCGCGGCGTGTCCTCGGCCGACTCCCACGGTGTAGGTCGCCCTCGTGGGCCCAGCGCAGCCTGCTAACTGGGTATCAGGGAGAACCGCCCGAGCAGGGAGCAGCCACGTGCTGCGAGGTAGTGGGAAGTCCCTGTCTGAACACTCACCCCTGTTGCTCTTTCRTGTCACAGCACATTGAACAGGGTCCCCGCACTCAGAACTCCCGCACCCAGAGCTCCGATTCCGTGGGACCCACACACCGGCCGAGCTGTGCCACCACCACTTCTACCTCGTTCCAGAACATTCCATCATCCCCAAAGGAGCCCGCCCCAGGAGCAGCCCCCGCCCCCAGCCCTGCACCCAGGAGTCCCCGGGCCAGCCGTGCACTCTTCTGTCACGGCCGTCTCCCTCACTGGGTGGGTGACACCTTGTGCGTCTGGCCCTCACTGGTCCTCAGGGCCACCCACGTCCCGCTGGGTCACCTGGCTCCTCTCTGTGGCTGAATAATGTTCCCTGCCTTTACCCTCTTTCCTGGGGGCTGGCGGGCTCCGCGCTCCTGGGCCGCACACAGCCCCCCTTTATTTTAACAGGATTCATGTCCCGGGGCGCAGGTTCCGTCATTTCTAACACCCGCGTGTTTAACGACGAGATGGCAGAGTGCCTGCCAACCCAGCAGCGGCCCGTCCGCTGGCTGCCGCGGGCCACCACCCCGGGGCACCCCGTCCCATGAATTCTTCATGTCCCACACAAAGGTGTCAATAATTGATGGCGGCTCAGCAGGGCCGGCAGCCCCGCCTCTCCCTGCCAGCCCTGCTGCAGTGTCCCAGGGTGGCCTCAGCCCACCACGCCCACCCTGCCATCCACCCCTCAGGCCTTGGGAGCAGGGGCCACCTGCCCTGCAGCAAGTGACAGAGGGGCCTGCCACACCTGGGGGCCACCAGTGGTTCTCAAACTGGGTTCTCCAGGTCCTCAGGAGCCACCCCCAGGATGGGTGGGGTCCTCCTGCTGGCTGTCCTGGGGGCCAGGACACTCCCCATTGGGGACATTCTCCACTGTAGGAAGCTTGGGGCCAAAATGGGACACTGGGACACCACAGCCCACCGCCAACCTGCAGGGGACAGACGGCTACAGCTCGGCGTGGGCAGAAGGTCTTCAACAGCAACAGAAGCCTGAGGGCACCACACAGGACAGCGCCCTCAAAGGTGCCCCAGCTGGCACCCCCTCCCCCTCCACGCCTCCATCCTGGCCCCTCCACTCTGGCCCGACTCCTCCCACGCCTGCCAGAGGGCGCCCTTGAGCCCCCGGGTCAGGCCCCTGCCTCCTCTGCCCACAGCCCTCCACCTCCCACCCCCCTAGGGCACAAAGTCAGGTGGGCCCTGGGCCCCTCTACCTGGCACTCCTCTGCCRCAGCCACTCAGCTCCTTGCTGCGCCTCCAACAGGCCAGGCTTGTCCCGCCCCAGGGCCTTTGCACAGGCTGTACCTCTGCCTGGAGTGCTTCCCCACAGGTTCCATGTGGCAGTTCTTTGATGTCACTGAGGCCTGGGCTCATGTGTCACCTTCTCAGGAAGCCCTCCCAGATTCCCATTCAGACAAACGTCCCCATTTGTCTGGCCCGTTCCTCATCATGCAGCTCCAACAAATCACAGTGATTTTTCTGGAAGAGCCACAACYACTTCTGCTGGCCCACCCTGGCCCTTGGGAGTGGGAGCTCAGGGGCAGGTGCCCTCAAGGGGCCCTTGGTGGGGACTCACGGGACTCCCCCCCTCCCAGCCCCCATCATCTCAGGCCTCTCCAGGAGGACAAGGAGATCCGTGGGGAGCTGAGGCTCACACCCTCGCCAGAGGCACCTGTGCTAGGCTCCCCTGGTGGGGTTCCAGGGAGGATGTCCAGTGCGGGCTGACCTTGTGCGGGGCAGTGGGCACGCTGGTGACTGGCCTTCCCCAGCACCTGGCTGCACCCCACGGCACGAGCCGTTCTGGAGCACCAGACTCTGGGTGGGTCGCTCCAGGACACCTGGAGTTCTGACCTCAGGGTACACTCTCCCGGCCCTGGACCCCCTCACTGAACCAGGCAGCAGGCAACAGGGGCCCCACTGGGCGGGAGCCCTGATCTGCTCAGGCCTCGGCGCAGAAACCAGGCCCAGGACACCCGTCCCACCCAGGGCCGCCTGGCTAGTCCCTTCGCTTAGGGGCACTGCCTCTTGTCCGGTCAGTGCGTGGTCCAGCACTCACCAGCCACTGGCCGCGCGGCCTCCGGCCAAGCCTAGGTGTCCCGGGGCTGGGCGCAGCTCCTGGTTCCTGGGTTCACCTCCTCCACCCTCCCAGCCCCCGCCGCTGGGCAGGTTCTGGCCCAGCCCATTTTACTCAACTTGTTAGGTTTGAAAGTTGGCGCCTGTGAACCTGGCGCGTGATGCCAGGCGCAGSAGGGGCCATGGCCCTGAGGCTAGGCAGGTCTGCGAGGCTGGCCCCAGGGGTGGCCACGGGAGGGACCTGTTCCTGCGCTGAATCCTCCCGAAGCCCTGTCACTGTACAGAGCGACCTGGAGAATGAGCTACCTGTTCAAGTGCCACCGCGGCCGGCAGAGTCGGGTCTACCTGAGCTCCCCAACCACTGGGCTGTCCGGCTCAGACCCTCCGGCCACCAGCTGAGCTCTAGAAGTGACCACAGAGGCCTGTTTAAGGCTGGGGCTGCTCCCCACAGAGGAGATGCTGAGGAAAAGAGAATCAGGTGGACAGCAGACTCCACCCCTGTCTCCGGTCTTCTCCTGGCCATTTGATGGCTCCCTTCCGGGCCTCAGTTTACCCTCCTGGGAAATGGGCCCAGTGAGCCACCACAGAAGAGGCCAGGAGGCCGGAGATGCAGGTCAGGATGCCTGCTAATTACCTGGCGGCGGGCAGCCCCAGTTCACTGCTAGTAACACTGAGTCCAAGGCCTCAGGCCACTGGCGAGCTTGCAGGGCCTGGCCCTGGCTGTCCTGGGTTCCTGGACCAGCCAGAACCCAACTCATTCCCACCTGCACACCTCTGGCGGCGCTGCCCACCACCCGGAAGGCCCTCCAGATCCGGAATCTGTCCAAGCACCTGCTGCCCTGCACTGTTAAAGGGGCAGAGTCCATCAAAGTCCCCAGGGGGTTGGGCACTGGTCCCAGAGCGGGTCCCCACGCCTGAGGCGAGGGCAGTTCAGATCCAATCTGTCTTCCCCTAACTCATAAGGCCCAAGAGTGCCAGAGACGGGGGAAACTGAGGTAGGAATGCAGACAGGCAGATGTAGGGTGCAGGGACATGAGGGACGGGGGGCAGGGACATGAGGGAGCGGGGGTGGGGGGGACAGAGGGCAGCCAGCCGAGGGGCCACCCGGCACTGCTTGCTCACCTGCTCTCCGGGGCGCTACAGTGCGACCACGATCCGTCCACCGCCTGCGTAGGGCCGGACCTCTTTCTGCGGCTGCGGGACCTTCCCCAGAGGTTGGGGGACTGGGCGGGGCGGGCAGCTTGACCACGCCCACGACCACGCCCCCACTAAACTCCGCCCCCGTTCCTCTCCCTCCCGCGCGGAAGAGAACGGGGCGGGAGTTTGGTCCTGGCTCAACCAATGGAAGCGCGGGCGACGTACAAAGGGACCAATGAAAGCGAGTCTCTGCGGCGGGAGGTGGAGGGGGCGGAGCTCGGGGCGGGGCCAGGCGCTGGGGGATTCCTCCGGAATCGCTGAGGGGCCGGATGCGGGGGCGCGGCGGCCCGGGGGGCGCCGGCCAGGGAGGGGCGGAAGGGCAGCGAGCGAGAGAAGGGGGTGGGGACCCCGAGGCACGGACCAGGGGAGAGCCAAAGGAAACGCACCCCACGAGGCTCTGCGCCGGCGCCGTCCACCGTGGAGCCCGGCTACCCACCTGGGCAGGAGGAGTTCGGGCAGACGCGCGTCCCAGCCCGGCAGGGCGCCTTCCGAGTCGGAGTCACCTGGAGCCCGCAGCCCCCAGGTGCAGCCTGTTTCCGTGGGAATGAGGATGAGCGTCCAGGCTGCCAGCGGGGCGGGGCGACAGGGCCAGCTGGGCCCCCCAGGAGGACGCAGCTGCGAGTCCTGGGAACCGGGCCCTGGAGCGGCTCCCAGCTCCCCAGTGCGCCATTTCCTCCCCGCTCCCCTGCCCCAGCTCTGGGTCCCAGTGCAGCTAGGACCTGGAAGCCGCAGCAACCACTCCGCGCCCTCCCAGTAGCCACACAACTAACGTTTGTTGAGTGCCGCCCTGACATGTACAGGGGAGGCGCAGGCGGACCCTGGCCCGGGGCCTCACGGGGCAAAAATAAATATCCCATTAGGGAGGCAGAAACCGAGGCTCAGAGAGGAAAGCCAACTTCCTGAGGCCACACGGGCACATGGCTGGGCCAGGATTCCAGCCCAGAGGTGCCCGGGGCTTCTGTAGCATCGGAGCCTCCCCCAGCCCCTCCACCGGCGTGGCCTGCCCTCTCCCTAGGTCCACTTCTGGGCCTGGCCACTCTTGCTTGTGGCGACCCTTCCTGACATTTTAGAGTGGCCAGCAGTACCCCTGGCTTCCTCGCACTCCCGTGCCAGGAGCACCCCAGGCCCCTCTGGGTTGTGATAACCAAAAAATGTCCCCTGGCACTGCTGGGTGTCCCCTGCAGGGTAGTTGCACTGGTGGGGGGGGCTTCTTTGCACCCCCAGGCCACAAACTGCATGGGGTGGGTAACCCAGGTGGGGAACCGGCCCGAGCAGAGGGGCTGTTTCTAGCATCTCCTCACATCAAAGTCTGGGATAGGTGCCTGTGGGCCCGAGTGACTGAGGTGGGTTCAGGGACAGTTTTGTGGGCTGTGCTCTCTGCAGTGGTCGGCGGCACCTGGCACGGGCAGGGCACGGCTCACTCACCTCAGAGCTCTGCCATCACCTGCCTGCCCGAGTTTGCGTCGCTGAGCCTCAGTGTCCCCACCCATGTGACGTGAGAATAAAAAGCCCTCGGGTCCTCAAATAAGGCAGGGGATCTAAAAAGTGCCCTAAGGACGCAGAGAGAGGGGAGCCCTCGCACTGCAGCTGGGTGGCAGAACGGTGTGGCCACACTAGGACAATGGCCAGTCCTCCAAAGCTGGGCAGAGTCACCACCACCCACTGCTGGGTGGTGCCCATAGAAGTCAAAGGCAGGACCCGGATACCTACCTACTGTGTGCGGTGTTAATAGCAGCACTGGGCCCTGGAGCCAGAGGGAGCCAGAGGAGGGTGGCCTCTGCCTGTTGGGGGGGGTGGGCCCACACTCAGCTCCGCCCTCGCTGGGCTCCTCAGCCTTGAAAAGGAAAGGAATTCTGACACCYGACACGGTGGATGAAGCTTGGAAACATCATGCTGAGTGACATGCACCAGACACAGAGGGACCCTGCAGCCTCCACCCCAGGAGGTCCCTGGAGTGTCAGAGCCACCACCTAGTTGACTTGGGGAAGCAGCGAGGTGGGTGCAGGGCAGGAGGGGACAGAGATGGTGTGGGAGGGGCAGAGCTTCAGCCTGGGGAGACAAGGAAGCCCTGGGGGTGGGCAGTGGGGACAGCTACGTGGCAGTGCCACTGTGCCTGATGCCCCAGAGGCAGGATGTTTCGCCCTGTGCCGTGCTAGGGACGAACCCAGGACACTGCACTGAGCTCCATCCCAACCTCTTTTTTAAGTTTTATTTTGAGACAGGGATTTGCTAAGTTACCCAGTCTGGCCTTGAACTTAAGATCCTCCTGCCTCAGCCTCCCGAGGCACGAGGACTACAGGTGTGGCCACGGCTATGGGCTGTTTGGCTCTAGTACCTCTTGTCCACACTTTGCTTTAATTCATCTTGATCAGGCCTCCTCTTGAGACCATCAGGTCCGCCACAGGGACAAAAGGACAGACACCCTCGAGAGGCCTTTGACACCTGGGTACAATAGCCCCGTAAGCAATGTCTGTCCAACAGTCAGTGCTGCCAGCTTGGTCGTCCTTAAGTTTGTCCCACCTGCTTGGTCCCCTTCAAGACTGATGACATCAAGAAAAGAGTAACTAAGGTGGTCCCAGGATTTGCAAGGACATTCAGCTGTCCCTGGAGCAAGGCCGCGACATCCCAGCCATTGCCCTCACCTTCCAGGAGCAGCAGGGCCTGGCAGCAGGTCACCCCATGGCGGGACCTGGAGCTGGCCCTGAGTGGGAGCAGTCCCTCCTGAGATGGCAGGCCCAGCGATGACCGCCTGCAGTCCGTGGAGATTCACCGCAGGCCCCAGCCACATCAGACCCCAGGGAATGGAGACCCCCAACACCAGGGAGCCTGAGCCCTCAGGGAGCCCCTCCCAGGGATCCAAGGCCCCTCTTTAGGTTTGGGCTACRTCCTACTGTCTTGTCTTATTGTCCCTGGGTCAGAAGTTCTCTGGGATCATTCCATGTCACATTTCACAGATGACAAAGAGGCCCAGAGAGAACAAGTGATTTGTCCAGGGCCACACAGCCAGAGGCTTGCAGGGGTGGATTAGGGCCTCATGGGATCTGACTCCAAGTGGGGGTCCAGCCCTCGGGCAGCTGCATCCTGGGGGTCCCCCGCTGGGCAAGGGGGCTGGGAGGAGCAGGGAAGCATAGTGAGTGGGTCTGGGTTCCGTGTGCAGCTGAGGGGACTGGGTTGGGACTCGGGCCAGGCCCCGCTGCCGCCGTTGGGGCCAGTGCAGCCCAGAGCTGAGGTTCAGAGGGGGCTCAGCCCATGTCAGGCGCCCTGGTATCAGGATCCGCCTGCAGTGGGGGCTTCCACGGGGGTGGGAGCTCAGCCCAGAGTCAGGCCCAGCCGGCGACAGGGTGCTCTGCACAGAGCTGGGGACAGCTCAGTTCAGCTCAGTTCAGCTCAGCCCGTGGCGGTGCTGGGCCGCGGCGCGCCGCTCCCGGCCGCTCCCGGCAGGGGGCGCGCTCTGCACGGAACCCGGGGCTGGCGGCGCCCGCGCTCCGGGGAAGGGGCCGCGACCCTGGGCTCGCCAGGCCCGCACCCGAGGCCGCGCCGCGCACCCCACGAGGCTTGCGATCTGGAGCCTGCGACCGCCTTCTGGGGCCTCTGCCCTGCGCCTGCGCAGGGGGACGGCGCTGGGCGCGGAGGGGTCTGGGGTCCCTCCCTGGCCCCCGGCCTTGGCTCTGCGGAGCCCGCGGAGAGCCAGTCGGGGACCCCGGAGCCCACGTCCCCCGGCCGCCTCGCTCCCAGGCAGTTCCCACGTGCCGGAGTCCCCTGTGCCCAGACCATCTGTGCCTACGGGAGACCCTCCAGGGCCACCAGAGAGGAGGACCCGGGAGAGGGAGGGAGCTAACTCTGCCGGGGTCTCCCCACTACAGGCCAGGCCAGGGGGTGTCAAGGGACTGTCCCAGGGCACTGGTGGGGCCACTGTCACTCCCAGGGCCGGGGCGGGCTTAGGTTTGGGGCGCACTGCTGTTCCCTGTCCCCCCACTCACCCACCCGCTGCAGCCTGAGAAGCCGTCTGGGGAGACACGTTTGCAAGTGTCGGTCACAGATGCCAGCCCGCCTGCGCCTGCGAGTGGGAGGCAGGCGTCTGGGGACATAAATGGCCATTCGCCCCGCCAGGGTGTGCGGGATTGGKGGGGGGGGGCAGCGCGGTCTGCCACCGTGTTGGAGGGTAGTGACCGCGACAGCCTGGGCGGCAGGGCATTTGCTTTGGGAGCCTGTCCTCTGGAAGATGGGTACAGGGACTGTGCCGGGCCGGGGTTCGGCGCACCACCTCCAGGAGCCAGGGGAGGACCAGGGGCTGGGTGGGGGCACCCGGCAGCCGGGGAGCCCAGACTGGGTACCTGACTAGGGAGCAGGCATGTCACCTCAGCTCCTGGCCAGCTCTGCCCAGGGACTCCTCCCACTAAGGCTGGCTCTGGGCAGACAGAACCCAGCCCAGGGAGTTGATCTGAACCTGGAGAAGCACAGCTGGGGTCTGCCATGGGCCAGTCCTGAGAGGCCAGACCTCAAACACCAAGCCAGTGGGGGGCAGCACACTGAGAACTGGAAGGAGATGGAATTCTGAAGCCCCCTGATCCAGCTGTTCCTGAAGACCCTGGACTTTATAGCTTGAACCACTGGATGAAACCAAGGAAACCCTCATAAAACTTTACAGGATGTGTGCAGAGGGGGTGGGGGGGTCAGGAAAGAAGCTCCGTGGCCCCAAGAGCTCCCTAGAATAAAAACCCTTAAAACTGCATTTACTGCTTCGTTCCATGCGCACCCCTGAGCCCACCCCGTTGTGTGCGGGCCTGGCACACACCACGCAATTCCAGGCTGGGGGAGGCAGGGTCCAGCACAGACCCCCAAGCAGGGACACACAGAGCTCAGGGGACAGAGAGGGGGAGGAGGCATCTGTGGGATCCGGGTGGACTTCAGGGAGCAGGCCACGTGGCAGCTAGGGCTGGGGAAGGGTCCTTGTGTAATCTGCTCTGACCTTGCGGTCACCTCCAACTCCTCCAGGAGGTCCTGCTTCAAACCAGCCTTCCTCTTCTCTCACCTGCAGACCTTGTCCTCGCGGTGCCTGCCACCATGGCCGCTCTTCCTTGCCTCTGCCTGGTCAGCAGAAGGCAAGCCGGCCCCTCTTCCCTGGCCCGCCCCAGCTGACCCAGGGCATCCTTGCACCCAGAGTCCAGTGACCCAAGCACGGTCATAGTCACCCAGGGACGAGTCCATGTCCCCACTGGACCGAGAGCTCAGGTCTACCCTGCTTCTTGTGTCCCTGATGCTCCCAATAGGTACACAGTAGGTGCTCACTAAATGCTTGTTAAATAAGCTAGGGAGATGTCTGTCCCGTGTTGGTGGCTGGGGAAGCCGGGCCCAGGGGAGCAGCAGAGGGTCTGCAGCAGGAGGGTCCAGCCAGCCTCCAGCCCACGCCGGAGGTCAGGGGTCCTCTCGCTCCTCCCCTGCCAGCTCCCCTGGCAGCCCCGAGGTCCCCATCACCTCGCTGCCTCCGGTGACACCAGTGGAGATCCGCTGCAGAGGAGGCTCCCGGCCAGGTGGGAGGGTGGAGCCCGAGGCGCGCTTTGCCCAGCGGCACCTCCCCAGGGGCTCGGCACACGTGAGAAGTCTATTTCTGCCACTGTCCCCACCGTCCGGGTGACTTCATCGGGCCTGAGCCGGGGTGCCGCTGACCTCATCCTCCCACCTGCAGGAGGAGGCGTGAGCAGAATCCTGACCCGAGGCAGCCCCACGTGCGCCTGAATCTGGGCCAACGTCCTCTTTCTTGCAAAGTCTGAGTCCCTGCTGTGGCCTGGGGACAGAGACATTGTTATGGTCTCCCTTCAGCAATTATGGATCCTGAACGCAGAGAGGGCATTCGCATGCCCTGAGACACACAGCATTTGAACCACTGAACCCCCGCAGGTTTCCCCTCAGGCCCTGAGCTCCCCCTTCAATGCTTTCTCTGTAGCCACCAGAGGGCGCCAGGGCGCATCTGAGTCAGGCCCTTCCTCCTTTGCCCACAGCCCTGCATGGCTGCCCCCTCCCTCAGGGGCACAGCCCAGGTCCTCCCTGAAGCCCACAGAACCCTGAAACACTGCCCGGTCCTCTCCCCGACTCCCTCCTCGTCTCTCCCCTCTTCCCTCTGCTCCACCCGCACGGCTCCTTGCTCAGCAAGGTCATCCTGCCCCAGGGTCTTTGCACAACTCTGTCCTCTGCCTGGAGCGCTGTTCCCTGGAGATCGTCATAGGAGTTACCTTCTTGCCAGGGGAGGGAGAGGAGCGCTGGGGGGATGAAGCCTTCCTGTGTCTGCACCTCTCCCTTCCTGAAGAAAGCTCTCGTCCAGCAGACGTTGTGGCCCTGGAAAGCCCTCCTCTTCCACTGGCCTTTCCCGGTCTTGAAACGGTCAGGAAGCTTCCTGGACCCGCGCCAGCAGCGCCTGGACTTTCCACTTCCCCACGTCCATGCTGCCCGATGTTTCCTTTAAACCACTCACATTTAGACCATCCATAACTACCTTAAACCTGTTTTTAATCGCAAAGGGGAAAGGGAGACCAGAATCTCTCGCCGCAGATGGCAGTGACTGGAGGTGCCCTCAGGGGGCGGGACTGGGGGACGAGGGGGCTTGACCCAGGTCCCGCGTAGGGACAGGCTGCTGCAGGGGAATCTGTGACCGGGTCCCAGGGCCACTTCACAGCTCGCCCACTCCCAGGTGCTATCATGTGTGGACGAGGGCAGCGGCTGCTTTGCACGTCACCAGCCGTGACGTCCTGGGACCGGGTGTCCAGACGGCCCTCTGGGCAGCACCAACCCTGCGTTGCTGCACTCTTCCCTCTTGACCCCTCCACGACAATCTGTTTACTTGTTTCTTCATTCATTCATTTTTTGGCACTGGGGCGTGAACCCAGGAGTGCTCCATCCCAGCCCTTTCTATTTTTTGAGACAGGGTCTCCCTAAGTTGTTTGCTGACCTCAAACTTGTGATCCTCCTGCCTCAGCCTCCCAAGTGGCCGGGGAGACAGCCTGGTGCCCGATTCCCTCCCGGAAGGCCAGGATGTTAATCTTTCTTGTTCCTTGCTGTGTCTCCATGTCCTAGAACAGGCTGGCACACAGTAGGTGCTCAATAAGTATTTGTGGGATGAACAGTTGGACCCGTGCCCACGTTGCCCGTGGCCCCTTGATCTTGGCAAAGGTGCCCCACTCCTGATGCCTGCAACCTGAGCAGACGTGGCCCTCCGTGGCAGAGGGGTGGAGTGAAGGGTCTTGAGAGTGGAGGCCACCCTGTCCTCACAGGGTCCTCATGAGAGCGCCGGGTTCAGAGAGCCGCCAACAGAAGCAAAGGGTCAGGCTTTGGCCCATGGGCAGGACTTGAGGACGGAGAAAGGGGCGCGCGCCAAGGAGCCCGGGGGCAAAGGGTCCCCCTAGAGCCTGCAGGAAGGATGCGACCCTGCCGCCACCTTGATTTGGCTGAGGGGAGCTGAGGACGGGAGAGAGGGGCCAGGACCCTGGAGAGCTCCGCTGGGGCCTGCCGCCCCTGGACTCCCGACCGAGCCTCCTGCRAGCCAGGTGCTGTTCTGGGCGCTGGACGCCCTGGGGAGGAGGTGGCCACAAACCCTCGTCGCCTGGAGCTGATCTTCCAGGGGACATGATCCAGGCAGGAGCCGGTGCCCCGCGCAGCACGGTGTCTGGTGGCAAGGTGAATGACGGGTTACTGGAAGGGACCGGGAGGGGCAGGGTGACCAAGGGAGGGAGCTCAGAGGAGGTGACAAGGAGCAGAGACCCGAGGGAGGCGAGGGGGTGGGGGAGCAGCACGTGCAAAGGCCGGGGGCGCTGATCCCGGAGAGCTGTCCTTTGGGGGTGGATGGAGAGGGGGGTCCTGTCGGGGTGCCTCGTGCCACGCCTCCTCCCGGGTCCCAAAGGTCCTGGGACGTGGGCTTTCCTAGCCCTGCTTTACAGAGCTGCTCAGTCAAGAAGACACCATGTCCCCAGGTCCCGGGGCCAGTTGGTGGCTAGCCCGCGGCTGGGACCCCAATGTTGTGATGTCCTGATGTCACTGCAGATGACAAGAACTGAGAGCTCTCCCTTGACTTTCCGGTGGCAGCCTTAGGCTGGCTCAGCCTGCGCCTGCGCTTCCTTGGGCACCTGAGTCCAGCCCCTTCCCAGTTAGCTGACTCCGCCCCCACCCGCGGACTGGCCAATCAGAGCACGACAGCTTTTTGGAGTCACAGTGATTGGTCAGAGATGAGCCAATGACAGTGAGAAGAGGGGATCTTCTTCCCGGGGCTTCTTGGTTGGGGAGCTGGCAGCCAGGGCTTTGCCACCTGGAGCAGGGAGCCCACCTGCTGGTGAAGCCCACCCGGGGGAAAGCAGAGCGGGAGGGAGGAGGAGGATTCCTAATTCCTAGGAATTAGCTGAAGCCCTGGATCCAGCTACACCTGAAGCGGTGTAGCCTGCTCTGGGTTGCACCTCTGCCCTTTCTTGTTATCGTTTGTGTCTTGTTGCGGTTGTGTCGATGACCGTAACGTATTTGGGAAGGACATTTCCTGAATAATGCGTAGGGTCGGGGAACTTCTGGGATATTTTTGGGAAAAGGGCCAAGACCTGAGATTCCTCCCCAAAGTCGAGGAGTCAGAAGCCAGAGATGGTTCTTTCAGGCCTTCCCTGGAGCACTGGGGTCAGGGGTGCTGGGCAGGTGGGAGGACAGTGGGTGGCCATGGGGCAGAGTCCAGGGATCCGGGGGACATCATACCTGAAAACAGACTCGCGCTGCGGTGAGCATGTGGGGGAAGGGAGCTGCTGCAGGGTGGGCGGGTGCTGCCCCTGGGCCCAGCCCCTGGGCCCAGCAGGGCAGTGGGGGCGCGGCCAGCGACCCAGGCCGCCCACCT